CCAAACGTAAATTCTATAAACGAAGTGATAAACGATGGGGGTAGATGTAGCAAAGCTCATGGCCTCTTTATCCATCTCCTCGGCTATAAATCAACAATAGAGTAGAATCTTTAAAGAGGGATGAAAGTGGGATTTTGAGAGAGAGACACGACCACGCTCCAGTGCCGCCTCCACATCGTCCTTACACTGCCACCTGCTGCTCCCCCACCCCCCTTCTAATCTAGGGATGAAAAAGGGGTTAAATTCATTTGAACTTTTTCTGCTTATAGGAAAAACTCTAGGATTTTCTTGGTGGATGAATAAGAAATCAAATTTCATTCCACCATTGTTGCATGTTTGTATCTGATTCTCAAAATCCCAACAAAAGACAAGTCTGGATTACGTACGTATCCCAAAAGTTGAAATAATCTCTCTATTTAACTAATAAGCACTTAAAACTTTCATACTCAAAGCCTGATTCATTTCTATCTCAACCCCGTGAAAAAAAACCTATAAAATACTCACTCCATTGGGAAAATTTGCACAACAGTTTACCAGCCAAAGAAGCTACCGGAAAACCTGTCGCTGAAGTTGCCTTTTCTAGTGTGATTCTATATGGAGCAAGCAGGAGAAGAAAATTTGAAAGATCAGCAGCCAATGGCGGCAAGGCAGGTTAAGCTGCTGGAGAGTTCTATGTCTCACTCTCAACACCACCAAGTCAACCATCAGGCACCGCAGCAACAGAAGTGTCCGCTGTGTGACTCAACTAACACAAAGTTCTGGTACTACAACAACTACAGCCTATCCCAACCCCGGTACTTCTGCAAGTCTTGCACAAGGTATTGGACTCACGGTGGAACTTTGAGGAATGTCCCTGTCGGTGGTGGTTGCTGGAAGAACAACCGGAGAAAAGCCTCATCGTCCTCTTCAGACAGTGAGACTGGAAGAACTCAGCCCTTACAACCACCACTAATTCCATCCCAGAATTCTGGGATTTCAACGGTGAGCATGATTTCTCCAATGAATTCTATCTGTTTTGGTGGTGAGAATTTATCTCACTCACGGGGAGTCAATCAAGTAGCTGAGAATTTGAGTGGCACCACCCAATTCGACGATGGATTTGGTGGCGGCGGTGCGCTAAATATTCCATGTCAAAAGGCACGACAAGCTCAACCTCAAGAATTCCAAGCGCCTAATTGTTTTCTCCCAGTTCAGGAACACCTGGTTCAACCCAGGCCTTTTGGTTCTCGGCCTGAAACCTTCATCAACACCACCACCGCTTCCTCATACACAACCTCCAATGTGTGGAATAATTCCACAGGCAGTGCGACTGGTCCTTCCAACTACCCTAATCAATGGCATGATAATCTGCCAATCATGTATGAATTATTACCTTTTTATAGAGAATTTGAGTTTTGTTAGGTTTGCTTTCGATATAACAGTTAATCCAGTTTAATCTTTAGCCTTTTGCTTTTGTTGCTTTAATTCAGCTTTTCACACAAAAAATTATCAGTTAATTACTTGTTGGGAAAATATAAGAGTTTGCTTTTAATTAGCTTTAAGGTTTAGTGTGTGAAAAGTCTAGAAAAGTGGCCATTTAAACCATGCGAATAATGTGCATGGCTAGGCGTACTATATGTTGGCCTCACGATAAATAATTAAGGTTACATTTTGCAAGAGACGATAATTCGACAGACAATTTAATTTGACACGTCAATTAATCCATCAATTACTTTGAAACTTGCATCCCTCTCTCCCCCTAGCGAAATTAACTCTACTGCTACATCCGTAGAAAGTAGTAACTAGTGGACATAGTCCAATTTAATCTGGTTCGGTAATCATCGAACCAAACAGAATACCATCAAGTCTATATACATGGAAGTTCCATGTATGTGGCAAGACCGAGTTCATTCCAAACAAAGAAATAATCAAATAACCAAATACAGCTTAAGTTTTAGCAAAATATGAAGCTTGAACAAATGGATGTATCTCAAAATTTAATTCGGCTATGAAATGTCCATAGTCAATTTTGGACTGGGGGCTGTAGCGCTGACCCTTTTTCACTAAGTGACACCATATAAATATACCCACAAAGTCAGGCGATTAATCGAGGGAATAAGCTATATGAAACCTGCTTAAAATGCTTAAACAATTCCTAGCCAATCTAAAAATGAAAACAATCCAGTACCTTAAAACTTATAGTGTTCGCCTGTAAGCCATGTCCGTAGTCAACTTCACCTAGACTACTGTTTATCTCATCGAATCATTTGACATCTTTTTATCAAATTAGTTGCATCATTCAGTACAGTTCCAGTGGAATCATCAATTTGGATAGCCATCCAACACTATCCCAATAGCAATCGCAAGAATCATTAGCAAAATTAGTTACGGGGGATCCCCAACATTTTCACGGCCATCTCCCATGTGACAATTGCAGCAGCATTAGCAGGAAATGCCCTAGCTATAGTCGGACCAAGACCTGTATAGCATCCTTTAAGTCCAGACCTCCCGTAAATCTATCCCAAAAAAAAGAAAAGGGAATTGTCACTTAATAATTAGAGAAGTTCATTCAAAACTCTGCAAAATTAAAGATAGAGGCAGCATACTGATTTTAAAATCCGAAAAGGATTTCTTGTATGGTTTCTGTCGGGAGCAGTTTGAATTTTGGTTTTCGCCACATCCAATGGCAGAACAGCAGACCAACACTACATGCACAAAGTGTGAGAAATCAAAATAGGAAGGAAAAAGGGAAATTGGATTGAATCAATCTGGAAAAATGAAATCGCAGTCTCCAAGATCCAAAATAATATCTCTAATGAAAAAAATGGAAAAACAAAACTTACTGCTATGCCGCCAAGGCCACCGCTAATGATCCCAATCCCCATGTCCACCAAACCAGTTGCACTAGATGAAGAATCTCTTAATTTTCGGTGCATGTGATAGCGTACATGCTCGTACGTGCTGAAGAAGACTGCATTTCCCATAGATTCTCTTAACAAGGTTGTGAATCCTCCTCGAAATAAGCCTGTAAGCTGAAGAGGTATTCTATCAGCTCGGAGGGACATCAAATGGCTAATTTGCACTGAGCATGGATTTTCTCACCCTTTCACTTTTTACTGTTTCCAGGGCACAATCAAGAGGACCAGCGTATCTCCTAGAGCCTGGAAGCAAAGAGTCAGTGCCTTGAACCTGCATCCTACACTGGAGAATCTCACTATCACGTGCATGATTTGAAATACACAGAGATAGCCACATAAAATTTCTGATGTACTTACCTTTACCAACTCTGACGGGCATAGTATAAAGCTAATAATAGCTCCGGCAAAAGCCCCAGAGGGAAATATAACACTAAGCTGTGGCTGTTTACTATGTGATCCCACCTATGTAGGAAGAAGAGGATTCAAATTAGTACATGGTAAAACCATAAACAAAGACAGCTTAATAGGCCTAAAAAGATGCAACTGTGAAACCTGCAGAAACTGCTTTGTTTGAGAATAAATTCCAAAGGCAAGTGAGCTTTCAAAGGCCATTCCTAGGAAAGAAGGTGTTGCACCGCGGTAAAGCCCTTTCACCTGTCAAAGGAGCCATGAATCAGTTTTCCGCAGAAAAATGAAGTAGGCAGCTATGATCAGCCATTTTTACTCAACGGATAAACTACATCAAATATATATTATGGTTCACTTGTAACTGAAACTAGTTTTCAGTTATTCCACAATATCATATGGTCAAAAAAGGATTTTTATTGAACTCGCAGGCTTGAATTCTGGAGATAGCTCTGAAGAAGCACGTGTGCAAATACAACTACAAACTTCGCATGCAAACAGACTCAACACTTCAGATATCACAGACTACAAATTAAACGAACTCTCCACTTCCCTGATTGCAACGGTTCAAGCAAGGAACGTAATAACTCGAACTAAAGTCTCATGAGAAGTTAAGTGGCATACTCCTTCAGTCTTTAGTATTCTTGCAGTACAGTGTAAACCATTCTTGTACCTCACTCCATTTGCTTCTGTATTGTGTTTTTGGAGCTTAACCTGAACAAGATGCATAGAAAGGGAAACACTTGAGATGCGAATAATCTGGTTAACTCTGCAAATATTTTTAAACAACAAAGGCATGAGTGCATTTGAAATGAATTTCAGATCATGACCCGACGCTGGATGCCCAAATGAAACTTCGGATTTAAAGGGCTAGCAATTTAATAACAAGGGAATGGGATTAAACGCTGTGCTACATCCTATTCATAGTCTATGATGAAACTGCTACACCCTACTCAGTGTAATTGGTTCCTTCACATATTCCATTTAAGATTATTTACTCACCGGGAACCAAGACTAGATACCTATAGCTGTCTGCACTACTAAATGCCCAAATCAAACAGGTCATTATGAAAAGATACAGCATCTACCACCGTTTCTTGTGTAATTGGAACATGCTGAAAAATTGAGGCAGACAATGTCATCTGTAAGCTGTATTCAGAAGATGACATCTTATTATGTGAAATCATACAGGCAAGGAAGCACGGCCTGGAGAGCCCATATATTTAAGATGTGAGATGGGCTTCCCTAGTCTTTTTTGGAAAACTTGGATGTTCTACCAGCCTCGCCTACTGAGTACAGAATCAAGACTCCTCTAACAATTCCTAGATTTTGCTTAACCCATCTGTTGACTGATGCTGCTAAAATTAGTATCACTGTACTTTCACTTTACAAGTTGCTATTTTTTCCCATCTTTCATCCCGGCCTTTCTTAATGCACACAAATTAATGCAAGAATGAATGGCCAAGCATGTTTGGCTTTTGGTAATAGCCAAAGAAAAGCAGCCTTTTTCGGCAGTAACATTCTTGATGCTACCCAAAAAATCCAGTTAATCTGGCTTTTAACCTTGGCCAAACATGTGTTCAAAATTAAAGTAAACCAGAACACACATACACTAAAGAAGAATAGTTAAAAAGGATAAAAGTGAGAGAGAGACCTTCACAGTGTCAAATGGGTGACCAACGATGACAGTGGCAACGCCCGCTAACATACCCGCCACATACTCTTTGTAACCCGAACTCAAACTCTCGCCCATTTTTTCCCTCTCTTCTATGATAATTCCCTCTTGCTCTCTCTCTCTCTAAAATCTCAAAATCGTGTGATGGAATGAAAAGGTATTACAATCAAAGACATGATCTTGTTTATGTATATATACACACACAAAAGATGGTTGAACCAATCAATTCACATATAGAACTAAATCGCAATAATCGGCTGTTTTATAATAGGATTTCATTTTCAGACAAACGTCGATTTCAAGAATCTAGGATTCAAAAGACCCTTTTCCTTAAAAACCCTAGACGCTCAAAGTCAAATTGTCATGGCTTGTGGCGTCATTGTCTTGCCGGAAGCGGGTCGCGACCCATGGGTAATCCCATCTTCATTTGGGCTTGGTTTTTTTTTTTTTTAAATCTTTATTTTTTCTTTAAATATTTTTTATTAGGATGAGATTTACTGTAAAGAATTCTTGAACTAAAACCCGAGCCTAATCCCGAGTAATCTTGTATTCAACTCTCTTAAGCAAGAGAGACACCCATCTTCATTTGGGCTTGGCTTTATTTTTACGGTTTTGCTACTGGTACACCAAGGTGTACATCGGCATATACATCACACTCATATGGGAGTGGGACCCGTTTGAATCAAAAAATATTTTATACAAGTGGGTCTCATCCCAATGTGAGTGTGATGTACACCTTGATGTACAATTCTTGATGTACAAGTAACATTTTTGTTATTTTTAATGTTTATTTTTATTTAATTTTTTTTATTAGGATGAGATTTAGGGTAAGTGTGATTGCAATAATAGAATTTGAGTGGAAAGAAAACGAATTTCAAGGAATTGAATTGTTTAGAACTTATTTTACTAGAAATTGTCAATTAATTGTTATAATTTTTCACCTGAAAAATATTGAAATTTTCAATCTTTTGGTGTTTGATTGGCTTTATTTTTCATGAATATTATATTTTTTTTTCCAACTATTGGTATTTGATAGCCATTTGTAAGAATTTTCCTAATCCTCAAACAACTAGCAACCAATGCAAAGAAGACGAAAGAATAATTTAAAATTGAATAGTGTAAAGAAAAATAATGTACTTTGCAATAAGAACTGATTTGAGAATAGAAAATGTAAAAACAATGTTTTTTCTCCCTTGCCAAGAAATCAAAAAAGCAGCTCATTCATGGGAATTTCAATTCCTCATTTTTGTGGAATAAATATGACCGAAAATGAGAAAAGCAATTGTCAAGAAAATATTTCCTATCAAACATGTTCAAAAGTGAAAAATGGTGGGATAATTTCTATCTTCCATTGAAAATTTGGCCTATCAAAGAAGACCTTATAGTAAAGAATTCTCGAACTAAACCTCAAACCTAAGCCCGAGCAATACATGGATATTTCCCTGTACTCTTGTAACTAATCTAGCAACTTCGTTATTCTCAAAATAAATCTAGCAAACATTTTCGTGAAGGGATCAATGAACACGATGATCATATAAATAATAAAACAAATTACACAAAAAGGAAAATGCAAGTTTAAATTTTTATTTGAGAAAATGCAATAATGATAATGTTGCATCAAACATTTACGCAATGCTATTGCTACAAATAGACGAGCATTTTCGTGTACAAAATATTACAACAGACTGACTTTGAAGCCTGGTATAAATTACAACAAAGGAAAATAAAGTTGCTATCTTTAATTTTATCAAAGACATCACGCTCAGACCATCACAACTTACTAGGTACTAGTTTGTTAGAGAAATTCTTATCCATGCCAAGTTCGGCTGTATTTTTCAGTATCTTGTCTGTCTCAGTAATAAATTTGGAAAATCGAGAACCCTTGGTTTCTTTCTTGTCTTCGTTGGGAAACTGAGGTAGATGGGGCAAGAAGGGCTCGGGTTTTGGAGATAATGGTGGCATCAGTGCCCATACGGAAGAAAGGTTTTCATTAGGCTTGTCGAGATCTTCTAAAAGCGAATAGTCCTGCATATCTGTATAATAGAAGTAGTCACCAGAAAACTCATAGTTAATGCTGGAGAAATAAAGAACATATAAAAAAGATCACATTCTTTTCATTGAATAATTGCTCCATATACATTTCCCCTTTGTCTCATTTTAACTTCTCTAAGCAGAATCAAATTGTTAATTGCATATATCAAATTTACCACCTATAGTTTCTTTGATCTAACAATTTAGTGCATGTCTGGTAAAATTTAACTATAATTTAAACATTCTTTTTATCCACACATTTCGTAGGACTCACGGTCTATAATCACTTATAAACACTCCCACTCCCAAACATGCACTTAGCATTCGAGTTAAAATTAAATAACCTTTGGAGAACTTGAAGATTGGCTCCAGAGCTGCACATGGAATGCTGAAGTTCAAATGTGGTATAACTGTCCCTCCACCATGCCTGGCATTGCTGTGCCAACATTTGAAAGTTAGAGATTGTAATCTGCAACCAGCACACAAAAACTACACATGCACAGAGAAGAGAGAGGGAATGCAAATGACCCGTGGTAAAGATAGCTACAAACTCTCAATCAGTCAACTTGTTTAGTTATAAACTTTCAAGCATATATTAAAATTTTTAAGCGTATCCCAACATGCTCTTAGTCATTTATTGAATTTGAATTACATACCTAGTGACAAGACCAATCATGTGACCATTAGAATTGACAACAGCCCCACCACTACTGCCAGGATGAACAGCAGCTGTTGTTTCAAACATAGCTGGAAAAATTACTTCTCTGCTCAGCTGATTGGATTGCTGCAGCTGAGGCCTCTTTGCTTCAATTACTTTAGATATTACACCAAGGCAAGCAGATGGAAGGAAGTCTGAATAAAAATTTAAAACTCATAAAACTAGACAGAAGCAATTAGATTGAGGTTAAAAATCCCAATTTATCATTGAATGTTATTAAAATGAATTAAGCTATTATTAGAGCACCTTGCGATGGTTTTAACGAATAACATTAATCTTCTTTATTTAACGTTGTAAATTTTACCCATGTACATAATATGATGAGGGTAGACGGCCAAAAAAGAAGGCCTTTCAAGTACCATCCCAAAATTCTTAAGAGAATTCAAATTTTCAAATAGTCCGGCAAGGTTTTTATTGAAAAAAATTAGAGAGGAAACAAGTTAAGAAAAAGGTGCAATTCCATCTCTATTGATGATGAAAATCCAAAGGGGAAAGGGTACCAGAAAAATATAAAGAATAAAAGCATGGTTAGATGAAGTGCTCACTGCATCGTGGTCCAAACAACCCATGTCCAATTATATATGCCTTTGATCCAGGGGATGGGCTAGTGAAATCCATGACAATGGGAAAAAGTTGATCTGGAACAGTCTCGAGCTTCAACAGAGCAATATCCAAAGGCCCTTTGGAAACATAAACAACACTAGCATTGCTCCATGTCCAAGGATCCATAAAATCTAACCGGACACATATGCTTCTATGGCTTATATTGGCCAAGCCCCGTCTAGATAACCCCTGCTCACCGCACAGAGAAATATCCGATGGTCTCGATTTTGTTGGAAGCAAATTCTGATGACCATTAGGTGTAGATTCTTTGGTTGGAAAAGTAGCAACCTTGGTCCCGATCTCATTTATTTCACCATTTGCAGCAGCTTTACCAAATCGCCATGGCTCCAAGAGATGAGCATTAGTAAGAATGAGACCTTGTTTGTTGAGCAAAACACCAGAAGCCCATGATCCATCGTCGATGGTAACAAGACAAATAGAGGGCAATGCCTTGTCTACAGGAGAAGTCGGAAGGGGGCCTGAATGAAGACACCCTTGCAAATCACTTGAGGATCCATCTAATTGCTCTTTGGGTGATGTTTTCAAATTTTCATCATTCCCTTTCCATTTAACATGGGGATCCTCGTGCAGAAAGTCACTGCAAGCAGATGCAATGGCATGCCATGGAATCACTAGCTGTCATCCAAAGCCACAATTTTGTGAAACAGGTATGTATAAATAATAAAGCAAGCTTCTATCGGTGTTCTACTGCTATTGGTTTGAACAGTGTTAAGCATTGCTTTAATCCTTGATATAAACTAAAAATAAACTCCTAGGATTCGGTGTATGATACTAGGGAAACTCGTGTACTTCACAAGACCTGGAAAGGTGTTTCCGGTAGCATATGTGTGTAAAGAGACATAAAACAGAAAACCCACCAAGAAATCAAGAGTTTTCAATGCTCAAAAATCAAGGTTCAGTATTGACAATAAAATTGGCTACACTGCACTGATTAGAGATGTCTCATTATATATTTGAATACAGAACAGGAAAACCATCCATCAAGGTTTCTCCAAATTTGAAAACACTAAGGCCAAAGATGAAAGGACACATCTATGTGCATAAAAGCTAAAAATGTCAACAGTAGGGCACAGAGATAAATTGAAATCGTACTTCCAAAAACGAATCAAGTATAATGACACTAATGCTTCACATTTTAGCATGATATCTTTCAAACAAGACATGATATAAAGAAGGAGAGAGCAAGAGTGATTCCTATATACCTGAATTTCAGTACCACTGTTTTTTTGCCTTAGTGGTCTAGTCAGAAGACCAATAAGTTTGGAACATTCCCCGAAAACTGGACTACCTTCCATTCCTATCCAATTTAGAACCAGAATGAAAACAGACTTCATAAGATAAATGAAGCAAAGACAGATTTTCAGGACAGTCACTCGCACCAGGAAGACACCTAATATCAACCATCAATAAAGATCTTCTGGAGGAACTGGGTGGATAGCCGTTGCAAATGGACCCCACCGATAAACTAATCCAGCAGTAAAAACGAGTGGAATGAGCACTCAAAACATAATTCGATAGATCAAAAAGATATCATATATAAAGCATGATACATTTGTATTAAAATATCAATCTCTTATTTGTTCCTTAAGAAAGGTCAAATGATGGATAATCTATTTTTTCATACTTCAAGTGAGGTCACCATGCACATATTCAAAGCATTCATATCGTGGCATCGGAATATGCAAACACATTGACAAACTAACAAGTAACAACAATTCAAACATTGAGGAATAAAGGGAAAGAAGGAATTATACTTGTTAAAGAAATGTACAGGCGACAATATGCCAAAAGGAGAACCCATAGCCAGAACAAGATCTCCCCTATTGGATACAGATGTATTTAACTTCGGAAAATTCTGTCAGAAAAAAGAATTATACTGTCATCACCTTCACCTTCCAACTTAATTGTATGGACAGAATACCGATGGAAAATCCAATTTCTATTTACTTTTTTGATGTTTAAATGATGTGATTCTGATGATAAAGGTAGAGAGAAAATCATAATACCTCAAAAAGTTTTGAGGGAACAGTGAGAAGAGCAATCCTCGTGGTTGATTGGCCCATAAGATTCGGATTGCTCAACTCTGCCACAAGCATTTGCCTTTGGCTCTGGAAGGAAGATTGCTCAACCTGAAATGATCAGTTGATAGTTCCTGTTACATAATACAGAATGACATATTAACAGTTTATTGAACTAAAGAAAATTAACAGTTTATTGGGGTGAAGTGACTTCTCTTAACCACACAAACTATTTTTCACATTCATATCTGCCAAAAAAAAAAAAAATGAAATTTAGTAATGGAGGAATATTCTGGCTCGGTCAAATCACCTGTGAATGAACGGCATCCATAATATGTTGAGGACCACGATTATGAGAGGCCAGTGACCAACCAACTTCCCAACCATGCTCCATTGAACCAGAAGAAGCTTCAATCAGCGATTGGACAGCAGAAGATGATTCTGGAATGTTAACCTCCAAAAAGTACATCACGTTGACAGTGTCAAGTAGGTTTTAGTGCATTTGTAATGATAGTAGTAAAAATAGAATCCAGGAATTAAATATGAATCCAACCACATGATACTATAGAGAATGACAAAGCTAGAAGTGTGTCAAGGTAAACATTCTATTTCGTAGCTAAATGCCTACCATCTTTATCAGTTCAGCAGGCAACCAAGCCTCCTCATTCCCCACTTTATTACCTTCCACCACTTTTTTGCCCTAGTTGTCAAAAGACATAGTATTATCGATCAGCCAATAGAGCACCAGAAACTCAGTTACCCAGAAAAGAATCTTTTAACATGTAAGACCTCCAACAATATATCAATCCGAGCACCGGGGATCAATTGAGGTTTATTCTGCAAGAAATAAAATGCAAAATTAAAGAAAAAAGCCCAAAAGAAACCGCTATTACTAAAACAAATAAATCTACATGAAGGCATTTGTATGCTATTAATATGTCAGAAAATCCAAACCTTTGATATAGTTTGCCTGTAATTTTGTGATAAAAATGGCTCGATTACAGAAGCAACTGTCAAAACATGTATGGTGTTGTCACTTCTTATAGAAGCATCCAAATTAAAACCCGGAAGAAACGTTCCAGATGCAGAGAGTGTTGTTTTGCCACAACTACAAAAACATAGAAAGCAAATATACTTCAATAGAAGTGTCACCACCCTTTTTATCATCTTGCAACCACCAAAAGTCAAATAATACTCCAACTATCCCATATATGCACGCTAATATACTTGTAAGTATATGCGAAAACAAAAAGGTCAGAATAACTTACTTATAATGGTGGAAGGCGTGATTTCGAATTTTGAGTCCCTTTGGGTCCTGAAAACCATGAAAACTCATTAAAAAATCTATAAAATGTCAAAAAGAAAAATCGAATTCCATCTACACAGGGTCTTTGTACCACATAGATAGATTCACAGTGAATATGAATCAAAGGTTAAATTTATTAACTATATTCTACTAACCGTAAAACTGAACATCCCTTAACTATAAAAATAAAGACAAAAGGACCTCGTCCTAGTTAACCTTTAGATAAGACTCCTATATAGTATCAGAGTTCAAAAACATTATAAAAGTAATTCAATAAGTCTAAAACTCAAACAAGCAGTCGAATTCCAAAATTGATATACTGAAACCAGCTAAACCAGCAATTGGATCAATATAAAACTCAAACAACCAGTTGAATTCCAAAAATTTTCTTCTAAAACAAGCTAAAATCCATCTAAAACTCGAAGGGGCAGTCAGATTTCAAAATTGATAATCTAAAACAAGCCCTATACGAGCAATTCAATCGCTGTAAAGGTCAAACAAACAGTCAAAATTTAAAAAAAAAAAAGGAGACGGGACTCACGGGGCCTTGAACTCTGACCATGACGGCGAAGTTGCGGGCGACATCAGCAACTTCAGGGAGGCCCATGCCGGATAAAATTGGGTAGGAACGAGCTCAGAGGAGCCGGAGGTGGAGTTGCATATAGATATAGTAGAAATTTGGATGAGAAATTCGGTTTTGATTCCTAAGAATTAATTATTAACAGATTGAATGAATGAGCATATGCCATGACAAAAGACTTGGATTGATTGAATCCAAGTTTTTGTCTTTTGGAGGAATTGTCAGCATAAAGGACGGCGTTTGGTTATCTTCTGTTCTGTTTTTATTTGGGTTAATTTCACAAATGGTCATCGAAGTTCAAGTGAAATTGCACATTGGTCAGTAAGATATTTTTATGTTTTATTTAGTCGTTAAAGTTAATTAATATAATGTAATTTGTAAATTTGTTAGTGGTGTCCATCTGAATCCGATGTTAGTAATCCCGACCTTGATTTTGATAATCATTGTTTCGGGTTGAGGAACTACAAATCTTCAAAGTGAAACGTATCAAAATCAAGGTCAAGGTTACTAACGTCACATCATTATTTGATTTTATTTATTATTATTTTTTTTAGGAAAGTTTGATAAAGATTATTAAAAAAAAACATTAAATGAACAAATCACTTTTTAATAAAATATAATTTCTATCACTTTTTCTTCACTTTTTTTAATGCTTTTTCAAAAATTGTGGAATATGTTTCTACGTATTTAATTCAATAAATGATGTTATATTTGTTTTCTTTCTATTTTCCTTATGAAATGATTTAGTGATAGAATTTTTATTTGATGTTTAAAACTTATCAAAGATGTGTTAAATTTAGAAAAATTAGATATGAAGATAAAAAGATGCAATCTGAACTTGAAGAATACTTAAAAAGTATTCAAGCGTTAGAGAAGATCAAGAGAAATCGAGAAACTTAAGATTCTTGATTAAAGTTTGAGATTTAAAGAATTCATAAAACTCAGAGGAAATTAATAGGCGAGCATTCCGCTTTAAACGCTTATCTAATTAATTGTCTAGATATGCAACGTATAATAGTTTAGAAAAAAAATAATCTCCGTGCCTATATGAAGAAAAAAATTGTTTTCACGCTCTTTGAGGCTAAATTTTCAACAAAAAATTACGGAAAAAGAACAAAGAAACTTGGAAGATTCAATATTATTTTCGAATAACATCAACAATAAAATATAAGCACTTGTCTTCCAATATCATAAATTATCATTTTTCTCGATCCCGAATTGGAAAATTTTGAATTGGCTTGTACTTTCATTAACTAGTTAGTCTAATCAAATCACTTGAGCTCAACTCGACTTAATTTCAACGGACTAAACTTTGCGAAAAACTCTGAAATAAGCTTGTTAGATTTACATCTACCACTAATGCCCCAAATCTATATTTTGAAGATTATAGTGATCACAATGAAATATTAGGTCTCAATTGTCATTGTCCAATTAACAAGATAAACACAAGCTTATTAAGTAATAATTCCAAATAATAAATTACTAACAAAATCCATAATCGACTTATTTAATAGAAATATGAATTAGAAGTCATCTAAACCGTCCCTGTCGAATTAAGACAGAACGCGACAATATAATGTTATTCCGTACTATATACTCGTCCACATTGAATGTGACAAAGGACAACAAATAAACCTAGAAATTATTTAGTTAGCATAATTTCTCAATTTTATTTTTTTTAAAAAAAAGCCTTGAAATTGATAAGAGACAAGAAGCAGACCCCAATCAAGAAAGACACTACATACATGCAGCAGCCCAATAGGTATCCAACGGTTCAACGATGTTTGCTCCTTGTGTCCCCACTGTAAAGCCTATAATAAAATCAAACATAATTTATTTGTCATGATATCACGTTGAACTCTTCGTATTGATTCGTTAGAGAGTACGTACCAATCATAAACAGTGGGAGAATTGGGTTGTGGCTTGTCAAAGTAATTACTACCTATACCCTTTGTGGCAAGGTTACTCCCAGGATTGAAAACGCTCCTCCACACATTATCTCTCTGTGCTGTTGCAGTTGGCGACGGAGTTGTCGGTGTTCCAGGTGCCGATGGTGTCCCTGAAGCGGATGGCATCGATAGAGATCTTTGGTAATTGCTACCACCTTCTCCGTCTAACCACAAAGAAAAGATAGAGAATATTACAATATATTGCACACGAGATAAGCTATATGTCGTGCATAAATAACATATGAAGTCTCGCTATTAAACCGTTGATCCTATTAATGTTGACACGTTTGATACTATTTAAAAGTACGTTTTGTCAATTTTGTGAATAATATGTGAATGGACAATTGTATACTGTTTAAATAAGCATCTAATATTGTGTTTTTAAGCAAAATTGAACGGGCTTTAGATAATATAATTTCAAGGAAATTAAGAAAAAAAATACACCTTTTGGCTTGGCAAACACTTTCTTCAGGTGTTTAAGGCCACGATTGGGCTGAGGCCCGGCTACGACGTCGTCCCAAAGCTGGTCTAACAGCACCATTTTTCGTTTCTTTTTTTTATTTTTCCCTTTCTGTCTAACTCTCAGAATAAATAGAGAGTTGCTGCTAAAATATCTCTCTGGCAAATAATCAAAATTAATATTTCCCAATTGTTTAATTCTATTTCCAGATCAATAAACCGTGGGCCGGGTTCAAGAAGAGTTCGTAGAGACTGAGAGCGTGATTAACGGTGTGGTTAAAGGAAAAATGCAGTGGAAATAGAAGAAATTAATATGGGTAACGATGAAGACTAGGTAAAATGTGGGACCAATGTTATCATTTGTGTGACAAGTGTCATGTTTAGATTGTATTTGTCCTGTTCTTTGGGAACAAATTTGTGGTTGTGGTCTTGTGGACCTGCAGTTGATGATTTAAGAAGTAAACGAGTTTTTAATTTTTATTTATGAAGAGTGATTAAATTTCTTAATAGATTAATTTGGACCGTTACCACTCGATATGAGAAGATAATTTGTCTTATAATGTGATTTTCTCAATGTTAATCGAATCGAATATAATTTTGATTAACGTCCGCAGTTTACTTGGCTAAATATGTCGTAAATGGACCGGACGAGACTTTTTTGGGTCGGAATAGAGTCTGGGTCGGGTTTCTAGGTCAACCTCTGATTGCGCCTTTAATTCAGGCAAGTGGGCCGTTGTGTTGATTGATTAGATTTCAAGGGTCAACTTTCTTGAAGCCCAAAAATGTCATTAAAGTCCACATTTAGCACCGTTCGGCCCCATTAAAAAACTAATATATTTTTTTTACCATTCTTTTCAATCACGTATTCTT